ATGTTCCTCTTCCATTTCCAAGCATGCTGTTTTTCTTTTCTCCCACCCCCCTTTTTATTTCTTAATGGATTGCCTTGATCTAACAATTGTGTTAAATTAAAAAAACAAAAATAGACCGAAAGGCATCTTGGGAAGGGCACAGGGCAGGGTGCAGAAGACAGATGCAGCACAGAAACAGCACCATAGTTATTTGTAAGATCAATAGTGACTGGTTCCAGACTGTTATGCTTGAGGTTCATAGGTTTGATCTGCACTGCACAAATAATCCCATTTGACGCCGCTTGAACTGCCATGGCTCAATGCTATGCAGTTCTGGGATTTGTGGTTTTGTGAGCTATTGAGCACTCTCTGTCAGAGGGCTCTGATGCCACACAGGGTGACCAGATGTCCTAACAGCAAAGGAGGACAGAGCAGTGCAAAATGTAGGACATTCAAGAAAAATGGAAGGCATCACAAAATAAAAGCTAAAAACACTCATAGGACGTTTTCACACGGGGCTTTAAACGGAGTCATTCCTACCTCCGTCCGGCCCCACTCCGGCTCTGTGCAGGATAAGTTCACACGACGTCGCAGCAAGCCCCGCCCCATCCAGCGCCATCCCTGCGCCATCCCTGCCTCACTCCGGGGTCTTGCTCGTCGTGTTCATACGACGTCGCAACAAGCCCCGCCCCATCTTGCGCAATCCCTGCGCCATCCCTGCCGCTAGCCGGCTTTAGCCCCATCTTTTTAATTCCTTTTTTAAAAAGGAATTACAGGGGCTGCTGCCGGAGGCAATCAGGAGCCATTCCGGCGGCTGCTGTTTTCGCCGCCGGAATGGCTCTTGATTGCTTCCAGGGGGCTTCCAGGCGGCTTTAGAGCCGCCTGTGTGAAAACGTCCATAGAAATGTAAGTGTATGCTTCTTAGTCCTGCTCAAAAGGGAGGACCTTTTTGCTTTCGTCCTGGATAGAAGGTTGAACTGTAGGATATGTACTGGAAAAGGAGGGTGCCAGGTCACCCTGGTGCCACAACAAATGCAAATCCCAAGATTCCATAGGGCAGAACTTTGACAGTTAAAGCAGTGTCAAACTGCATTAATTCTGCAGTGTAGATTCAGCCCTATACTTCTGTGATTGTAGTGCTTTATGAGCCTGGTATTATAAGGTCCTAATAAGTTTCCAGATCTATCCTATTGAATCAACAGGTAGAATCAATATTAGTTGAAGAAAGAGTTGTAGGCTGATTGAAAAGTAGCCAGTGGCTGTGGCATGGACATCCAGTCCATAACTGTTTTGGATAAAATCGATTTTGCATGCTTTTATAGTACTTCACAAACCTGCAAAACCTGGTTGTCCAGCGGAAATAATCCAGCAGTGGGAACGTATGTATGTCTATTCTACAGGAAATATCCCACTGCTTGCAATAAATCTCTAGTCTCCAGCCTTTGCAAGCAAGAATGATGGATGGCATGTTCAAATTAGGGATGTAAATCCTTGTTTGTCTCATTTCCTTTTCATGAGAATGAGAAACGGCATATATATTTTTCTCCATGGTGAGGTGCTTCCTCCATTCTTTTTTGGTGAAAATTCTTGCATTTACAAGATATTTTTTTTAAAAAAACAAACCCAAATGATACAATTTTGCAGTAGCTTAATTGCATTAAACTGTGGCAACTATAAAGACTTCCAGTGTTTGTTATGTGCACTTTCCAAAATGAGAAGCATCAGATAAACTGTTGGAAGCTTCCTCATCAATAAGGCAGTCCTGTGCTTTGCTTTATAATGGGTGTGCATTGCTTTATAATGGAAAAAGACTTTTATTTGCACCAATTATTCACTCCAAAATATGGGGCGAAAAGGCATGCTTTGTCGGATTCCCGTGCTAAAGGCAAGAATGCTCATGGAGCCTGACAAACCACACCAACCTCTTGAAATTTTGAAAATATTCATAGTTGTAGCTGTGGAGTGTGTGCAAAATAGGGTTGTCAGATCTCAGCCTTGAGTCTCCAGTTCTTAGGGATCATCTCCAACTGGGAGAGAAGGGTGCAAATGCTCCAGTTTTGCTGACTTTGGCTCTAGGCAAGAGGGAAGGATGGCGTGGAAATTACTGGCTGAGCTACTGGAGCAGCAAGCTTGCTACCTTGTGCAAGCCTAAATAGATTTGTTGCTGCAATTTGTCAAGATTTTTCAGTCAGAACATGTATTCACTTAATTTAGCTTCCTCTTTCCCTCCCAGCGGACATGGTGACATGGCTCACCCTCCACTCTGCTTTTCTGGCTGGATGTAAGTAGGCTAGATGAGACGTTACTCCTCCTGTCTCCATAAGCAAATGAAAGGAGTAATCCACTCATTTCAACTTGATGTGGGAACAGCTAAGATTTCTGTCTGAATTCCCAAACAGGGCAATATGTTCTCTGTGTGTGTGTGTATATGTGTTTCAGTCGCAAGCTGGGAGCAACTGTGATCCACAAATTGAATGCATAAGGCATTCATAGGACCACTAGGGACCATCGCTAGGTATCAGGTTTTAGCTTTGAAACCGCAGGGCCTGGGGCGAATCTCAACTGGCAGCTCTAGTGTAATATGAGAATATTGTCCCCCTGACACATACCAAGAATTATGTCCCCCATAAACTTTTCCTTCAGTCCCCAGTTTTCTAGCACTGCAGAGAATGAGATGGTGGGAATTGTTCATACCTAGGCTGCTTCTGCACTGTAAAAATAATGCACTTTGACACTGCTGTAATTGCCATGGCTCCATGCTGTGGAATCCTGGGTTTTCTAGTTTTGTGAGCTACTTCCGTCTCAGCTCTGGTGCCACAACAGATCCCAGAATTCCCAGAATTCCATAGTACTGAGCCACAGCAGTAAAGCCACTGTCAAACTGTATTATTTCTGCCGCCCATTTGATGTGTTCCCATTCCCATGGTCACTTTTGCCTGCCCCTTTTTTCGTCGGAGGCCTAAATTGTTTTTCTCAATGATTCACTGTAGTTTTAATTTGATTTTTTTGCTACTGTGTGCCTTCAGGTCGTTTCTGACTTTTGGCGGCCTAAAGTGACCCTATCATGGGGTTTTCTTGGCAAGATTTGTTCAGAATGGCTTTGCCGTTGCCTTCCCCTGAGGTTGAGAGAGTGTGACTTGCTCAAGGTCACCCGGTGGGTTTCACGCACAAGCTGGAATTGAAACCCTGGTCCCCAGAGTTGCAGTCCAACAAGGGCAAATTGGGAACTAATGGGACATTTCATTTGGGATGGCACAATTTAATGGGGTGGGTGGGCAGGGGAATACCCACATTTTGCCTTCATCCCCTCTACATCCCTGCAAATATCCTTCACAAATAGACTCCAGTTGTGGCTTGAGAAATTGCCAAGCTGGCCATTCTGTGGAGGAGAACAGCCTCTCGTGTCATTTTCACTGGCCACTTGCCAGCCTTCCCCTCCACCCCATAAAGCCCCAGCAGGCCTCGCTGTCTTTTTTTTCTCCTTGACCCTTGCCCATACAACGTTCCCATTCAGGGTGGAAGAGGGCCCCGGGCATCTGACTGCTGCTATTGTGTCTGAGATATTTCAGGCAGAATCCAGCTCTGCACAGCCCTCTCTCCAGAGTCTATATTAAGCTTGCTTTGTATGCAAGTGGCCCATCACCCTGGAGCACCAGAGCCGGGAAGGCGATCCTAATCCGTTCATCTTGCAGGTGAACCTCACCCTCCGAGACCAGAGTAAATGGCCAACGCTTTTCTCTAACCTTCCCTCTCTCTACCAGAATGATGCAAAGCTTTCCTGGGGAAGCTGCAAGGAAATCCTTTGCCGTACGCCTTCCTTCCGTTGGATTTGATTGCATCGGGAAGGAGTTGATTGCCAAGGCAGTGCATGGCATCGCTGCCAGGGGCCCTGTAGACTCTTTTCCTATGTGGTTCGCTAGGTTTTGCCACACGTGGCCCAGCTTTGCGGTTTCCCGCCTCCTCTTCCACGCTGCTGTTTCTACTTTTCTCTCGACCTCTCTTTGCCTCGCCTCGATGCCACTTTGCAGCTTGGCACGCTGGAGGGAAGAGTTACGTAAGATGTTCTCCTCCGACTCAAAACCGCACTCTCCCCATCCGTCCACCCAACCACAAATAAATCAAATTAAAAAGGGACCGAAATGGAGAGCAGAAGAGCCAGGAGCAAAGTCTCTGAGACTATTCACAGCATGATTTTGGATGCTATTTAAAGCATTGTTGGTCCGGGGGCTGCAGCATGGCAGGGTCGGAACAATAATCGTCTTGTTCAGCCATGCGGTGATGGGTTCAACTGGATTTCGTGCCAGTTGTGAAACCAAATCCCACTCTGATGACCCAGGGCTGTGACATCTGGAGAAGAGGGACAAACGGGAACTTGACTTGTTCCATGGAAACACATCCCCTATAAACACACACAAACACAGACACATATATACACATGCATATACACACACAGCATCTTCACAGATACCTTTGGAGATCAGTGAGCATTGGGAAGAGAATGAGCTGTTCTGATGTTGGCTTATCTGAGAACAAAAAGAGCACAATCAGAGCTACAGAGATTCTGGAATCAAGTCCATGAACACTGATGCTAGAAATTTCTTCTTCCAAGTGTCCACAGTGCTACTGGGTGTCTTTGCACCTTCCAGCTTCCTTAATTTGGCGATGACAGGACTGATTATTCCTCTGCCATCCCACTTTTTCAGTTGCTTTTAAAATGTTCCAATTTCTGTCTCTTCCTTCCACTTTCCCCCTTTGTCCCTCAAATTAATGTCAGTTGCGGCAAAGTGAGTTCACAGTGCAAAAGTAGTTTGCACTTGGTTAACTCAGCAAGGGGAAGGTGAGAGAAGGGAACAGTATCTTGCCCTTCCCTGTAGACTCAAGCAAAAGCAAACTGCTGCAGCGTTTCTTACCTTCTTGCTTATTATAACTTTTGCCACTGTTATCATATTCTAATGTTGCTTGGCCACACATCCCATGCTTTTCATCAGTGAAGTGTTGGAGGGTATGTTCCTTTATGGAGAGACGGTGTGGTGTAGTGGTTTTAGTGTTGGACTACGACTCTGGAGACCAGGGTTTGATTCCCAGCTTGGCTATGGGAACACATTAAGTTACCGTGGGTCACATACTCTCAGCCCCAGAAAACCCCATGATCAGGTTGATTTAGGATTGCTATAAGTCAGAAATGCCTTGAAAGGACACACCAGCAACAACATTCTTCATGAAATTTCTTCTTGAAGGAAACCAGCAATCCTCTCCCTCAAATTTCCTTCGAAAATTGTACACTATTCACAATTCAGAGCTTAGATCGCAAAAAATTCACACATGGTTGTACTGTTTTCTGTGCATAAAATAAAAATTTCACACAGAAATCAGAATATTTTTTTTATATATAAAGTAACCATGTGTGATTTTTGCACAGACTAATTCCCAATTGCAGCATTTTCTGCACAGGGCATAATATTTCTGCAGTGAATTATTAGTTTCTGTGCAGAAAATGATGTTTTCTGCATAAAAGAACCATGTGCACTTTTGGCACAGTATACATCCTGAACAGTTAAGTTTCTTGTCAGTCCACGAATCTTCTTATCAGGGCTTCTCAATACTCAAAAACATGATCTTTGGTGCATTTTGCAAATATCTTCAAATATTCTTTCCGTGTTTAGTGCACAATCAGATTAAATAGACATGTGGTGGCTACATCGCACTTTTGGCTTCATATACTTACATAGACGTAAATCTTATAGAAATCAGTGGGACACACCTGGGCTGCTGAGACCTTGCAGAATCAATGCAGTTTGACACCACTTTAATTTACATGGTTCCATCCTATGGATTCCTGGGATTTGTAGTTCCTTTTGGCACCAGAGTGCGCTGACAGAAGAGACTAAATATCCCACAAAACTACAAATCCCAGAATTCCCTAGCATTGAGCCAGGGCAGTTAAAGCAGTGTCAAGCTGTATTAATTCTGCTGTGCTGATGCAGCCCAAGTGATCAGGAAAAAAGACTTAATACTATTACATTTGCTCAGAAACAATCCCCGCAGCATTTGATGAGACTGGGTGCATCTACACTGTAGAAATAATTCAGTTTGACACCACTTTAATCGCCACGGCTCCATGCTACAGAACCCTGGGTTTTGTAGTTTTGTGGGGCACCGGCCTCAAGAGAAGGGAAAGGACCTTGTAAAACTACAAATCCCAGATCCCCGAGGATGGAGCAGCACGTAAAGTGGTGTCAGACTGCATTGTTTTTGCAGTGCAGATGCACCCTGCTTCCCGAGGAAGTGTGTACCAAATTGCAACCTTAATTTGTTGTGAGCTCCATGGCCATTGTTGTGTCATTCCTGTGTTTCACCTGCCTTTCCAATTTAACTAATTGATGTTTGCCATTTGCTCTGGGAACTTTGGACCAACGTAGTCTAGAAATGCAAAACAGAATATTCTCTGTGGCTGCTATTAATATATATATATATCTCCAGCGCAGTTGTCACATGTGGTGTGGGGCTTAGGTGGCTAAGTTGCAATTTTGCCTGCAAGACAAAATAATAATTAGGATAATTGCGCTTCTGGCAGAGGATCCCATAGTGCCAGGTGGTCTGATGCACCTGCGCACGCTTTCCAGGGCTCTGTGCTTCTGCTGGATGGATTGGGAATGACGGTCCTTGTGTCTTTTGCAAGCGATCGTAAATGGAGTTGAAATTTGAAGTTTGCATTGAGGTTCAGCATGATGAAAAGGGTCAGTTATAGGAAGAATGCTCAGTCAAAAGGACCTTGCTTGGTCTTGGAGAGAGTGCTAGAAAAGCTAGCTAAGGGTAGCACAGGTCCAAAACACACTGCAGAAATAATCCGGGTTGAGACTGCTTTAACTGCCCTGGCTCAGTGCTAGGGAATCCTGGGATCTGTAGTTTGTTGTGGCACCAGAGCTCTCTGACAGCGAAGGCTAAATGTCTCACAAAACTACAGTTTCCAGAATTCCCTAGCAATGAGCCAGGGCAGTTAAAGCAGTCTCAAACTGGGTTATTTCTGCATTGTGTTTTGGACCTTAACGTTGGAGCGAGCCAGGTTTATTTTTTGCTGGTTGTGGCAAAAAAATCCAAATCTGAAAGCTCTTCCATCTGTTTCCACACATGGACGCCAATGAGACTTAGGATTGAATCTGAGCTCTGCACTGGTATTTATTTATTTATATTTATTTATTTTGTATGCTCCCTTTCTCCCCGGAAAGGGACCCAAGGCAGCTCACGGATAAAATTAGTTAAAAATATGACAACAAAATTTTTAAAAACAGTTACAACAATCCTGTTAAGACGGTATAAAAGTACATTTAAAAATAGAAAAGTTAAAAAAAAACAAAAGTGAAACAAGGGAGAGGGCCTTCTTGGTGGCTGCTCCCAGGCTTTGGAATTCCTTCCCTAGAAAGGCCAGGATGGCCCCATCCCTGCTCACCTTTCGGCAGCAGATAAAAACATTCTTGTGCCGTCAGGCCATTTCAAACTGACAAGGGTTGGGCTATTAAAGCTGGGTAGTTCAGATTTTAAGGTTGGTATAGAGTTTTAAATACATTTAAATAAGAGGAGGGTGGGTTAGGGCATTGCTGTATTATGGATGTTTTTAATGCTGTAATGTGGGATAAAAACAATTATTATTATTATTATTATTATTATTACATTTTGCATTTTAATGCCTAATTGTTTTAAGTTTTAAAATTGTGCAATTTTTTTAAAAATTTGCATTTGTACATTTCAGTGCTTTCATATTGTTTTTAAATTGTACTGTTTTAAACGTGCTGTTTGCTACCTTGAGTCCCTCTATTGGGAGAAAGGTGGGATATAAGTTGATAACAATAACAACAACCAACAAAAACAACACATGCATCCATATAAAAGCCTCCCTGACAATGATTATTTATTAAAAGTCTGCTTAAATAACAATATCTTTACTTGCTGGTGAACGGAAAGTAGGCAGGGAGCCAGCCTAGCATCCAATACGAAGAACTTCCAAAGAGTGGGAGCAGCCACTGAGAAGACCCTGTCTCTCATGTCCTCACCAAGCAAACCTGGGATGATGGTGGTGGGACCAAGAAAAAGTCTTCTCCTGAAGATCTTAAAAGCTCTTGTAGGTTTGTATGGGGAGATACGATCTTTCAGATAATCTGGACCTAAGCTGTATAGGGTTTTATAGGTAACAACCAGCACAGCATGGAAATGAACCGTCTCCAGTGAGCAGGCTAGCTGATGGGATACAGGCCAAGAGATGTGGCATAGGCAGCTCTGTCCTCCAACACTTTGCCTCCACTTTCTGCCACCTGATGGGACATCGCCACTCTGCCCATTGGTAAAACTGGCACCAGAGGTGAGTGATAGTTCCCATGTCAGGGGGCAGTGAATCTGCTCTGTGGTTTAATCCGAACTGTAAATACCGCTGGCCCTCTGTACCTGCAGATTCTTGACCCACGGATTCAACCATCCACAGCTTGAAAACATTTTTAAAAATATAAATTCCAATAAGCAAACCTTGATTTTGCTATTATATATAAGGGGCCCCATTTGACTATGCCATTATATTTAATGGGACTTGGGCATCCACGGTTTTTGGCATCCACAAGGGGTCCTGGTACCAAACCCAGCAGATACCAAGGTTCCACTCTTATCTAAAAGACAAGGATGGATTTCCCACCCCAAGAATATGGAAGCCACTTGCTGCCATTGCTGGCTCTGCATATGGTGTCTTCATGGCTAGTGGTCTGTCTCAAAGCATTTGGCAATTAGTTGGTTGGGGTAGATTCGGTGAACTTGATCCACAAGGGATGAAGAGTTGCCAGATTATATCATAATCACTAATCCTTAAATGCGAAGAATTTTCATTTATCTGCCCTTAATTCCTCTTCTTCTTGTAGCTTTCTGAGCAATTACAACCCCAACCTTTCCTAGCCTTTCCAGTTTGCAAAAGTTGATTTTGGGGACTACTTCACCCAGAATTCCCTAGCTAATGTGACCACTGGGAGTTGTAGACAAAATTATTATTTTGTTCGTATCCTCAGGATGCATCTACACAAGGGGAAAAAAAACACCATACTCACCTTGAACCTGGTGCAATTATTTTAGAAGACATGACATAAGAGCCATGTTTAAATATTTGAATGGGTGTCATATTGAGGATGGAATAAGCTTGTTTTCTGCTGCTCCAGAGAACAGGACCCAGAACAACAGATGCAAGCTACAGGAAAGGAGAATCCACTTAAACATTAGGAGGATCTTCCTGACATTTGACAGTGTAATGCACTCCCTTGATGTGTGGTGGAGTTTCCTTCTTTGGAGGTCTTTAAACAGAGATTGGATGGCCATCTTTCGGGGTGCTTTATTATGAGTTCCTGCATGAAAGGGGGTTGGACTGGATGACCCTTGGGGGTCTCTTCCAGCTCTATGATTGTATATCGGTATTCTATTAATTTTCCAGTTGTTTTATATAAAAAACAATTCTTGCTGCTGTAGCCGTATAATTTATCAAACGAATACACTTTCTTTTCCTTTGATGATGTTTGTAAAGTGTGGACAGCTGCATTGGGTTGGATTTAGGGTGATCCAGTTGTCGACACATCACAAGCACCCACTGGGATAGATTCATGCTGGCAGGTATTGCCATTTCCTGACTTCCTCACTGATCAACCCTAGAAAGGCTCATGGGGGCCACCACCGCTGCTGCCTTGCCAGCCAAGCAGTTCTCTGGCAGAGCCTTGTGGGAGACGTTGGCTCCCCGTCCTCATTGATCACATCCCTGGTTGCCCCATTCTGACCTCAGAATCAACATCACCAGCAAGAGTCTTCCAGGGAGCTGCTTAGCTGGCAAGGATTGCTAGCCCCGGGAGTACAGGGCATTGGTGCCAATCCGCTGTCGACCTGTCTGTCTGTCTATAAGACAGCAAGGTGGCTTTGCATCGCTTTCTTGCTGGTTTGAATCCATTGCTCTGGGTCCTGTTCTCTGGAGCAGCAGAAAACAAGCTTGCTCCATCCTCAATATGACATCCCCTCCAGTACTTAAATGGGGCTATCAGATCAACCCTTAACCTTCTCTTCTCCAGGCAAAATATACCCA